AGATAGATAGATAGATAGATAGATAGATAGATAGATAGATAGATAGAATGAAACATAACTACCTTGTCTCAGCCACTGCTAACAAAAAATAAAAGCCAAACTGCCAATTATGTGTTAAACATGTTTATCTTTAGTATTCCTCCTCCCTGGTTTTCACTCAGCCAGACTTTTATATAAAACCCCGTGTGATTCATGAGTCAGTTCCTGTCCTTTCCGGGACTGTTTTATCTTTTTTAGCTGGGTTATCATTTGGGCCCTTTTCCCTGTGCTAATAATGGCAGTATCATTATGACAGCAGCGGGCTGACATGTATCACCACGTTGGACTCTCTGTGCAATGCAAACATGTAATACTTCTGCAAAAATGGAGCTCATACGAATTGAGCTATGTTGAAGGTCTGGGGCTGGGGGGAGTGAGAGAGTCTGGGGGAGAAGCGTGGAGGGCAGAAGTGGTTGCCGTGGACTGGAGTGGTTGTTTTGACAGTAAGGCGGCCTCTCCCTCATCATCTCGGTCTTTCAGAGCGTAGCTGAGCTCAGCCCCTGCAACACAAGCGTGACCTGGGCGGGAGCTGAGACCAGGGTGAAGCGCTGAGTGCAAGAGTGCACGGCGGTTTGGGGTGTGGAGGGAGGCAGATATTGAAACCCTGTCCCTGACACCAGTAAACTTCTGTCACGGGGCTTTTATTGCAGCCCGTCTGTTTGCTCAGGATGTCAACGATAAATGCCCTAATGAGGCTGAAACGTCCCTTTTTACTTGCCATAAAATGAAGAAAAAGATGGCCCTCTTGAGTTGGTAAGTAAATATGAAGCTTTAAACTGATACAGAAGGTGACAAAACATACATATAATGATACAAATGGATGATATGGTGGCATTTCTGTCTGGTTTAATGTTTCGTTAGAACACCTCTACAATTAGAGCATTGACTACATGATCATCTTTATTTTAAAGAACACATTAACAAAATTACAAAAACAATTCAAAGCAAAACATGGATTACTCTAGTCTAGTCTAGGTGCCAGTGCTCACTTATATCCTTCAGTGCTGTGTATAATTTGGCTCAGAGGTCTATAAAAGGAAATGTCTGAGCACCTCATATTATCTTCTCCAATGAAACGGACTCACAACAGTTCCAGGAAAAAGAAATGCTTTTATCATTGTATTAATCCGTAAAGCTCTTTCTTTAAAATGTTTTTCTCTTCTTATCTATAAAACCACCTCATCTTGTAAGTCCTGAGAATAGATTGTCTCTGAATCAACACTAAGCTTGTAAACTTGTCTTTAATCTTCTTTGGTCCTTTTGAGTAGAGTCATGGCTGAAAACATATCATTTTAGATATAATTCAAACATATTTAAATATTGTTTGGAAGACTTAACAAGTGATGTATGTACTTTAATGCATTCTGAACAGTTCTATTTGCTCTAAGGTACGGATCCTGTAATTATTAAACATTATTGTGCTGTTTGTTGGGCTTTGTCCCTTAAATACAGTGTGTGTTCTCACTTGACTTCTCTACATAAATAAGTTTAGAAATGGATAAAAAATCTATATTTTAGAATGTTTTGTTGATTGTTAGAACATGCATACACTGAATGTTAAATTAGAGCCAGAGCCACTTTCTTTTCTTTATTATATTCATCTATGCTGCTATAATCAACACACGTGATGCATTCTACCTTAAATCCTGAAGTCAACAATCTCAAAATGTCACTGTGTCGTAATTGTGCTTTTTATCTTCTCAACCCAGCCCAAATACACTTTGTGGTGGCATTTTGTCTTTCATGGAGTTATCAGAGGTTTTTGGCCATGTGTCTACAGAAGCCCAGAAAGGTCAAGAGGTCTTCCATCATTTTTACATTCTGGCTTTCAGTCAGTGGATATCATCTTGTTTTGTTTTTTTATTCATTGAATGTATTTCTTATCATCAACCCTTAGGGATCGACTGTGGGTTGGACTTTGATCTTTGATGCTAGATCATTTTCAAACTGAATTTATCAGTGGCCAACTCCCCATCACTGGATGAGGAAGAGGATGCTGAATCCCACTCAAAAGGAAGGGCGCCAGACTATTTTCTGTTCCCAAAACCTTCAGACTATGATTTCTTGCTGTAACAGTTGGTTTGGGAGGTTAAAAGTTATCTATCTGGTCCACTATTCTCACAAATAAGAGGAACATTAATTTTGTAGTTTCTGGAAGTCACATTGGGCGGATCATTTGAGGATCTTTTCTGCAGAGAAGCACATGAAAACACTCCGAGAGTGATCGGAGTGATGTCAGAGCTGAGTCT